CTTCTATGCTTTTTAAAAAAAAAATAATGATGTTATTTCATGTAAAACAAAGTCTAAAGGAAATTCTGAGTTGTAATAAAAATTTGGATGAATTACTTAAAAAAAAATTGGCTATACCAACAACTTCAGCAAACAACTTTTACTGGGCTGTGGTGTTTAGGATGTATGTTTGCCGAAGGAACACTGTGAACTTTGTGCTCTGGGAAAAGTTCTTTGCCTCTTCAGGAGTATTGATGGCAACCCCACGTCACACCCTGGTTTCCCCAATTTGCAGGGTTTGCTATTTTTCACTGCTGTCAGCTGACCGGAAAAGACCCGAATTTCATGAAAAAAAACAAGTACAAGAGTTTTTTAAAATTCCTCTCTAAAAAGTGGCGGGCCAAGTTATAAATATATATACAGTGGTACCTTGGGAGAAAACTCTTTTGTTCCAGAAGGCTGTTTTGGGCGATAGGGAAAACGTTTTTTCCCATAAGGAAAATGTAAATTGATTAACCCGTTTCAGACCCCTAAAACACATTACAAAAGCATTACATAAAACACTTGCAAAAATGTTTGTTTTTGACGTTCGTATCCCCAGGTACCCTGTGCGTGCACGCGCACACGCATACCGCATGCCACCGCACGCATGCCACGCACACCGGGTGACCCCAAAAAAAAAATACTATTTTATTCAACACTTTCACCTCGCTCACACAATCACCTTTTTCAAGGTGCTAGAGACAACAGTTTTTGAAGTTACAGTGGTCCCTCGATAATCGTAGTTCTGGGAATCGTGATTTCGGAAAACATAGGGATATTTTGTATAAACTGGGTCGTAATCGTAGGTTAACTTGAATAGGGTTCCCGGGGCTTACGCATGGTGGGCCCGGGGGGGGGCCCCCCTACCCAGCCAGTGTGGCATTGTTTACCCGGAGCGAAGGTCCCCACATGGCTCCTACGAATATTTCATATACGTGGTCCCCCCAAATCATCCACAATCTGTTCTGGGGTGGGGAAAATTTATCGAAATGGGGGATTTTCAAAACAATTTTTTTTCCCAAAAAAATAATGTAAATCCAATTAATTTTAAAAACCTAGAAGTATCAAAAAAAATTTTTTTTACCTAAAAGATAGATTTACATGCACAAAAGAATGAACATTCAACATGACAGTTACCTTTATTGAAGGCTGTTGTTGATGAATGGAAGACAGGGAGGAGGAGAGGGGGAAGAGGTTATTTGGAAGGGGAATCCCCCTCCATAAGGACTCTAGGGCACTAATAAAATGTATAAATGAACATTGGTAATAGGGGTAGTTGACGAGTGGAATGGTCTGCCTAGAAGGGTGATCGAAGCTAAAACATTGGGTAGTTTCAAATTTAGGTTGGATAAATACACGAGTAAGAAGGGTTGGATTTGAGTCGGACTTGCACCCGAGCTTATTGCTTGGGTAGCATTGTTCCATTAGTGGGTTGGATTTGTGAAGGACCGGCCTAGTATGGGCCAACAGGCTTATTGCAGTGTTCCTCCTTTCCAATGTTCTAAAAGCTATGGCTTGGGTAGTTTCAAATTTAGGCTGGATAAATACACGAGTGAAAGGGGTTGGATTTGAGTCGGACTTGCACCTGAGTTTATTGCTTGGGTAGCATTTGTTCAGTTAGTGGGTTGGATTTGTGAAGGAACGGCCTAGTATGGGCCAGCAGGCCTGTTCCAGTGTTCCTACTTTCTTAAGTTCTTATTTAACATCACACTTACCAGTAGGGTGATAGAGGCTAGGACCTTGGGTAGCTTTAAGAAGAGATGGACAAATATACGAGTTGGAGGAGCTGAGTTTGATTTGTGTCATTGGGTACGGGAGTAAATTCTTGGGTAGCTTTGGGTGGAGGTCATTTTGATAAGGACCTGCCTTGTATGGGCCAGTAGACCTGCAGTGTTCTTCCATTGTTATGTTCTTATTGGCTATTTGTTTGTGTGGTCGGTATTATATACCATTTTAATGTTCAAGTTTATTGTTGGAGAATATGACACAAATAAGCCATAGAGTTGATATTAATCTATCTATCACAATTCAACTAATATGACATAATAAACAATATTAATAACATAGAAACATGGAATATACTCTAGAATGAATAAAATAAGTCATTACGTATGTCACGAAAGGTGTTGTGTTGTGTTGTGTTGTGTTGTTGGGTATACAAGGGCCACAGAGTAAGCCGTCCATAATGGTGGTGAAGCAGCAGCTGAGTCGGTGGTGGTTTTTGTAGCCCTATATAACTCCAACATTGGAGGAGTTGGTTGAATCACTAAAGAAGGAACCCACTACCACCATCACTACCACCAAAGAAAGCTTCTAGTGCCAGCTCTTTGGTAAAGAATGTGAGAAACACATTTATGAAAAAGTTTGTAGAAAAATACAAAGATGGTGGTGGTTGAGTGGAAGCAGTTGTGATAGTGGTTGATGAACACAAGAAAGGAGGATCACTGCAGCAGGCCTGTTGGCCCATGCTCGGCAGGTCCTTTACAATTCATCCCACTAACGAAACATTTTCCCAGCCCAGTCCTCAATGCTGCAGTGATCCTCCTTTCCTATGTTCATCAACCGCTATCACAACTGCTTCCATTCAACCACTACCATCTTCAGATTTTTCTACAAACTTTTTCATAAATTGTGTTTCTCACATTCTTTATTTGGAGCCATGGTAGCTTATTTAGCACTTGCAAGCACTAAAATCAATGGAATATTATGAAATTTCGTAGGAGCATGTGAGGGGACCGTCATTCACTGGTAAACAATGGCACACTGGCTGGGAAGGAAAGGCCGAGGCGGCTCAGAGCGTGAGTACGCGTCCGGGACGAAGGACTATTAGCGAGTTACCGGACCATTTGCGAGCCAATATTTTGACGAAAAAACAGGAACATTTCCGAAATGGACGACTTTCAGGCCGGACGATTATTGAGGGACCACTGGATTCCACTCAGTTTAGTGCTTGCAAGTATACTAAATAAGCTACCATGGCTCCAAAGAAAGCTCCTAGTGCCAAGCCTGTGGTAAAGGTGAGAAATACGACTGAATTAAAGTAAAACATCACTGAACAATATGAAAGTGGCACAAGTGCGGCCGAACTAGCCAGGATGTATAAGAAACCCTACACAACCATATGTTCCATCGTGGCCAAGAAAGAGGAAATCAAGGATGCTGTTGTTGCAAAGGGGGTAAATATGCTGAAAAAATGAGATCACCAGTACTCGAAGATGTTGAGAAGTTATTATTGGTGTGGATAAACGAGAAACAATTAGCATTAAGAAACAAAGAAGCAACCCCAGAAAAGCAATTGGTACCTGAGGTGTTGCTGGAAGGGGATTCCCCTGCCAAACTGTAAACAATCCAATCTCTCTCCTCCTCCAGTCTCCGATACACTAAGAAGAATCTCCAATAAAGGAAAGTGTTATGCTGTTAATGTTTCATTCATCGCAGCGCTGTATAGTCCTTGTGGCTTAGCGCTTCTTTTTGATTATAATAATAATAATTCATTCATCATTTCCCATTGTATTGTTTATGTAATACATCTATATTTCATGTAAAAAATTTTTGTTTTAATACTTCTGGGTGTCAGGAACGAATTGTATTTACATTATTTCTTATGGGGAAAATTGATTCGAAAATCGTAGATTTCGATAATAGTAGCAACTCCAGGAACGGATTAACTACGAAAAACAAGGGACCACTGTATACGTATAATGATACAAAACATATCCCTCCAAACTGCCAATATCCTAAACCCAGGCATTTTACTTCCCATTTTCAGGACTCGAGTCTGGCTATATAAAATAACCGGTTTCCCTGAATCCCTTCACTAAATATTACCCTGCTCACACACCAACAGCTCGTCAGGTCCCAAATACCATTCGTTCTCCATTCCTATCTAACGCGCTCATGCACGCTTGCTGAAGTCCAAGCCCCTCGCCCATAAAACCTCCTTTACCGCCTCCCTCCAACCTTTTCGAGGACGACCCCTAGCCCGCCTTCCTTCCCCTACAGATTTATACACTCTCCATGTCATTCTACTTTGATGCATTCTCTCTAAATGACCAAACCACCTCAACAACCCCTCTTCAACCCTTTGACTAATACTTTTAACTACACACCTAATTTCCACACTCCGAATTTTCTGCATAATATTTACACCATACATTGCCCTTAGACAGGACATCTCCACTGCGTCCAACTGCCTCCTCGCTGCTGCATTTACAACCCAAGCTTCACACCCATATAAGTGTGTTGGTACTACTATACTTTCATACATTCCCTTCTTTGCCTCCATAGATAACGTTTTTTGTCTCCACACATACCTCGATGCACCACTCGCCTTTTTTCCCTCATCAATTCTATGATTAACCTCATCCTTCATCCAGCGGGCAAAGGAGGGGTTGAGGTCGTTTGGACATTTAGAAAAGCTGGAATGACACAGTGCGACTTGGAGGAAGGAAGACAGGGTAGGGGTCATCCTTAGAAAAGTTGGAGGGAAGGGGTGAGGGTTGTGTGAGGGGCTGAGACTTCCAGCAAGCACATGTTAGCATGTCAGAGAGGAGCGAGTGGAAGCAAATGTTTTTTGACTGCTGCTGGATTGTGAGCAAGGCAATATTCTGCAAAGGGATTCAGGAAAACCAGTTAGCCGGACTAGAGTCTGGAAGGTGGGAAGTACAGTGCCTGCACTGAGGGGGTTTGGGATATTTACCATTTACAGGGACATCGAAACTGTTATCTACACACTTCTGGCAAAACTGATTGTGTGAAAGATGGCGAATGTTTCTTTTTTGGGTCTCCCTGCCTCACTGGGAGACGGCCAGCATATAAAAAGTCTACAGCTATTCATAAATTTTAATAAGCATAAAGTACTGCAATGCTAATATGTAACAATCTTTTTCATTTTATTTTTGCATGAAATTTTACTACTTTATTTTACCTACGAGGCAAGAAGCTTATTAATATACTAAAGATAGATGAAGATAGTCAAGCAACTTTTGAAGTTTTATTGTTAATAGCTCTTAAATATTATAAAATTTACCTGAGCAAATCATTCTTAGGTACCCATGTTTATATGTATGGTAAAACACGAAAAATTGACACTAACTCAAAGTTGCGCCCAGTAGTTGCTGGGTAAAGAATAGAGAGCTTAAGTCTCTTATCTGGGCCAATGAGAAAAACAGCACGACATGAAAGAGGCAGGCCTTCAGACGTCTTCTCATCTGGGTCTAACATGCCAAGGGTAACAGCCAGGTCCCTGTCTTGATCAGCAATGATTGGGTAAGGAAATTCTCCTTTGATATCAGGGCAGTAGGATTTAATGTCCTGCAAAACATGTACAGTATTATATCAGCAACTTTTAACTGTGATGCACACCAAATCTAATACATAAAGTTCTCTACTTAAACACGTTGAGAACCTCTTGCATTGTGTATGTTATTGTGTATAATATTAGTGTATATTATATACAATACAGAAGGTCCCCAATGTGCAAGTCAAAGACTTACTGTATTTTTTGCCTTTAATCTAAGGTTTTCCCATCTAAAATCTTGCACTTCTGCACTAAAATTTACTCAATGTTGGTAATGCTGTACAAGCAAATTCTGTTTTTTTTAAGAAAAAAAAAAAAAACAACGAAGACCTGAAGATTGTGCATCACGACAAAGAAATTGAAAGCCCACACTCATAATAAGTATCATTTCATCTATGTCAAAATGTTTATTTCAACACTCATTAAATCCACTAGTCAAGACTTCAGTGATATCTCAAAGCACAAAGAGTTAAAAGAGGGCTAGACATCAACTGAATGGTATACAAATAGACAAAACACTTATTAGGCATCCCCAAAGGGAAACCAAGTGGTTGCCTGAATTTTTTCTTTTGTCAAATGACCACAGTTGCTGAGCCTATTCCTACTATCCTGGAATAGTTCAGATAACTAACAAAAACCTCTGTGGTATAGCTTCAAACATTCAAAATAAGGCGTCTTAATTCAGCGATGGAAGAAAGCAAAATTCAAGTGGTTAAGTGCAGATTTGACCAGTGTTTATGTGCAAAATGGTTTAATCATGATCAAAGTATGCATCTTCCTCTTTGACTGCTTCAACATCTTAGGGCCAGGATAGTACCTAATTAATATAATTTACATGTGCAAACTTGTCAATGCAATAAATATTTTTAAAACCTGGAATTTTCTGAACTTTCATTAAACCTGACAATTTTGAAATAAAATTCTTGAAACATCATGGAGAATTTTAAAACTAATAAAACTGCAAAAAAAAATTTTAAATAATATTGAATGCTCAGGCTTATGCTTCAAATTTCAAATCCAAGTCAACTATTACTAAGTGAATGCTCACAGAGCAACTGATATGTGCATTGATCTCAGCTCAATTTTAGACAAACCCTGTAATTGACATCCACGAGATTACTTTCAAGTTCCTCTTTTGATCAGCATCACAATGTCACGTGTTGCCAAGCAATTAATTTACTATATCTTGTTACTGATTACAGATTCATGTATATATACATACATGGTAGTGATAGTGAGGATGGAAATATGCACATGAATACATACACAAGTATGGATGTATAAATGCAGAAATACAGTCATACATACATATATGCAAAATTTTACATGCATAAATGTAAATATACACACACTTTCACACAGGCACATTTTCATGTGCAAACGTAGAAACATGCATAAATATGAACTGCATACATCTACGAACACACATGCATGGATATAATGTATGTATACATGTGAACATGCATGTATGAATTTTTGTGTACATATGCACATGCATACATACCAAAAATTTACACAGGTGTATACATGCACAAATACATGTATACATACAGAAGTGTACACATTTATAGAAATTCATATACACAAACTTTTATATTTTACTGCATTAGAAGTCTGACTTCCCTCCACTGTTCCTTTTGCATGCTTCGTAGTAGAGGATGGCCTTTCTCTGATAGCACAGCGACAAACTCTTCTAGTTTATGAATATTTCACTCTGAGCAGAACTTTTATCAACACTCAGTTTTTTTTTTCTCATTATGCACTGTGTGCTGCAGGATTTTTTTATACTGCACACACTGACCACAGGCCCATTCTTTCATATGTAGGCCTACCAGCTTTCTCCCACTAGATTTGAGGGCACTAGAATTTAGGCGTACTAGTACGTCAAAAACCCTGGGTCGTAAGCCGTACTAGTACGGCCGAAACCCTCAAAGGGTTAATAAGTCTAGTCGAGAAGTTCAGTAGAGAATAATTACGCTATTGAATTAGTTTATAAAAATTACAGTATTAGAACAATTTAAAACAAATTTACAATATGATGTATTACAATTTTGTAGTATTTAAAACAATGAAATTTAAACATGAATGAAATTGAAACAATTTAAGTTGAGCAGTCTTAAATTTAGATTTTTTTTTTTTTTTTTTTTTGAGCAGCTTGAGTAACTGGTAGGTATGAAGTACAGTTTGTCTGGTTAATTTTGGGTGATGAGGTGATTTTTATGCAAGGCCTTAAAGTGATTTGCAGGCAGGGGTCCTTTAGTTGGGTTTGGGTGAGAAGACATTAGTGTCATCTGCTTTTAAAAATCTGAACAAATCCTAACCTGTCCTCAAAATCAGAACCATCCATACAATTAGAGAATGACAAAGAAATAAGAGGTAAAATGAGTAGTGCAGGCTGAGACCTGGTGAAAAGATTGTCCAAGTCGTCAATGTTACAAGTGATCAATGATGCATTACAGACTACTTGAGCACTAGCAAAACTGACAATTCTGCATTCAAAAAGAACCACAGCCATCCACTCGAGCCAAGCTGAGCTACATCAACCTTTTCCACACATGTCCATATAAATAAGCAATGAAAACTAGGACACATAGGAAGAAAATAGTAATTTGTACCTAGTAAAATATTTAAAAATAAGTACAGTCGTTTGTCAAATGTTAGAATGTAACCAATTTTCCCAGTCATGTTCTTAACATTGCTAATCTCAATAAGGCACTTTTTCTAGAAACACATTCTCTGCTGTCTGTAAAAGATGAACTTCCACAGAGTACACTAAAATAGTTATAATCACTGCTCCATTCTTAAGTCCTCGTCTGACTGTCTAGGCAACAGTGATATAGTACAACAGGAGAATGGGCTGCAATAGCCTATTTAGTGCTGAACCACTGGGATACCTTTTCCATTATTAATCTTGCAACAAGAAAGGCTTGAAATTTACTATTTAGACAAAGCAAATGTTCAGCTAATTCCAGAAGTGGGCAAGCCAAAAATAATAGCAATAATTTTATACCCTTAGCTGCCATTCCTGAATCAAGAGGCAACTGCTAAACATTTTCCCTTTGAGCAAATTACTGTACAAATTCCATTTTCCTCGAGTGGTGCGGTAGTACAGTACTAAACTGTACAGTACAGTACTGCTATTTGCTTCAATGAGACTTCTAGCTTTACTGGTCCTCCCTGAAGCAAATTCCAAAAAGAAACATTCTCACTATTTAAATCAAAAGAAATGTTGGGCTTATGGCTATTCATTTTAGACGACTTACTGGAGCAAGAAATGGAGGAAGTGTAGAATAAATTCAGTGAGGAAAAGGGGTGCCATGGGCACAATTGGAGAATACTATTAATATCTGATCCAAGACTTCAATCTATTGCCAGCATTTAGAAATAATGCTGGAATGCAAGCAAAAGTGGAAACTGGACAACTATTTTTTGCAGGAACTAACTGTTCTGGGTTGTTGACAATGGGAGCCAAAACAAAACTAGCACCAATACCCTAGCTGACCAGGCTAGTTAACAAAAGCATGACTTCAGGCTGGGCTTTGAGGACTAAAGAGTCCATGAAATCCATTATGTCACAAGAAATCATCCAAGCACAATCCGTTTAACCACTTACCCCCTTCCCAATTGCTGTGCCTCGTATACATGTCTTTCTTGCATAATGTAAGTCACAAACATGAATTACCAAGTATGACCTAACATTAAATGACAATACCAAAGCAATATAAAAATCACATATGTGCACATTTATCTTGCAAGGGAAAGGAAAAACTGGTCCAACACTTACCTTGATCCAGCCAAGATGGTCATCGACACCATCACAGGAAATTGCCATTACCTTGACATTTCTCTTTTCAAACTCTGGGATCATTTTTGCCATACTGCCCAACTCTGTGGTACACACTGGAGTGTAGTCCGCAGGGTGAGAGAAGACAATGCCCCAGCTATTTGTCAAAAAGAAAAAAAAAAAAATAATTTTTCAATACAAATCTTAATTAGTAATAAACAATAATTTACCAATTTTAACTACTCCTGAACACCTAAAACTTGTTGCATGATACCAAAAAGAAATTCTAGATAGAATAAAAAAAATGGGATAGCCTCAGTCTTAAGATTTATTTTTAAAATCAGCCTAATAATGAATGTGGCAGTACCAATTCAGTGTTAACACATTTTTCTACATTTTATAAAAAATGCCATAACTAAATTAATCATACCTCATGATAATAAACTAGGCACAAATGAACAAATCTGTGGGTGCAATACCAGCATCATTTGTACTTAACTGTCAATTATCAAATTTATGAAATTTTCCTGTGGCAGATGTTGCAATGTATGGAATATGAGGTAGGTTACTGAAAGCATTGAAAAGATTGTACACGGATAGTGAGGCTCAGGTTAGAGGATGTAGGAGAGGGAGATTACTTCCCAGTAAAAGTAGGCCTGTGACAAGGATGTGCGATGTCACTGTGGTTGTTCAATATATTTATAGATGAGGTAAGAGAAGCGAATGCTCGGGTGTTGGCAAAAGATAAAGAATAACACAAAGTGGGAGTTGTCACACTTGCTTTGGCATACTGCTCTTACCTGTATTTTTTTGTACCTCTGTATGTTCAAATTATTAAATAAATAAATGACACTGCTTTTGGGAGATTGAGGAGAAATTGCAGAGGTTGGTGGATGAGTCGGATAGGGTATGTAAAAGAAGAAAATTAAATGTGAAAAAGGAAAGAGCAAGGTGATGAGGATAAAAAAATTAGGTAACGAAGGACTGGAGGGAGAGAGTATGGAGAAGGCGAATGTATTCAGATATTTAGGAGTGGACGTGTCGGCAGATGGGTCTATGAAAGATGAGGTGAATCACAGAACTGATGAGGGGGGAAAAGGGCGAGTGGTGCACTGAGGAGTGGAGACAAAGAACTTTGTCCATGGAAGCAAAGAGGAATGTATGAGAGTACAGTTATACCAACACTCTTACAGGAGTATGCAGCATGGGTGGTGAATGTTGCAACAAGGAGAAGGCTGCAGGCAGTGGAGATGTCTTGTCTGAGGGCAATGTATGGTGTGAATATAATGCAGAGAATTCGTAGTTTGGAAATTAGGTGGTGGTCCGGGACTACCAAAACTATTATCCAAAGGGCTGAAGGGTTGTTAAGGTGGTTTGGACATGTAGAGAGGGTGGAACAAAATAGAATGACCGAGTGTATAAATCTGCAGTGGAGGGGAGGTGGGGTAGGGGTCAGCCTAGGAAAGGTTGGAGGGAGGGGGTGAAGGTGGTGTTGGGTGCGAGGGGCTTGGACTTGCAGCAAACATGCAGGAGTGTACAGTATTTGATAAGAATGAATGGAGTAATGGTTTTTAGGACTTGACATGCTGTTGGAGTGTGAGCAAGGTAACACTTATGAAGGGATTCAGGGAAACCGGCAGGCCGGACTCGAGTCCCGGAGATGGGAAGTAGTGTCTGCACTCTGAAAAGGTGTTAATGTTGCAGTTTTATAACTGCAGTGTAAGCACACCTCTGGCAAAACAGTGATGGAGTGAATGAAGTTTCTCTTTCAGGCCACCCTGCCTTGGTGGGAAACGGCCGATGTGTTAATAAAAACAAAACTGAATAGAACTTATAATGGGAGCATGATACTGGTGATACTTGAGAGAATGATTATCAAATTATGAACAGTTCTATCCACAGGCTTCACTTGCTATATTAATACAACTACTTCACAAATGGCTACAGGCACCCAAAAATTAATGAACTGAGTCACATCTATTATTCTAATTGCAAACCTTATAATGAAACAAAGTTAAGAGCACCTTTAGAAATTACACTAGCACCCCACAAGCCCACTGGCCCATGGTATGCAGTTAATTAATAATCCTCTGGGTTTCCTAGCAAAGTAGGGTCATGTCAAGCAGGCTACTGTCTTGTTTCTGCTACTTTTAGCAATCAATTGTAAACTACTTTAAAAAACCAAAGCATAGTCAAAATAAAATCTCCCTCTGAGAGTAGCCTAAGATAGTCCATATGTTTCAAATTTCGTCCCAAAGTAGTTTACTGTGGTTATTATCAATGAAAAACGAAGGTATTATGTAGTGTCACTTTTTAATAATGCATTAAAAATGATTTATGCTAGGTTTTAATTCCTCTATATGTAGGAACAGTGCTTACCAATACAAATTGAAAGACCTTATGTTTGTATAGTCATGTATGGTAATTACTCTTGTTTATCATGGTACTGTACTCTGCTCTAATATATCAAAGTTATCCAAGGTGCAAGAGAACAAAGACCAGGGTGAATTTAAAAAAAAAAAAAGAAATGGTTAGTAGATGTTTGAATGAAACTTTAAATGCTTACAAAATTGCTAATGACCAATCTCTTAAATTTTGTAAGGGTTTTGAACAAAAGTTTTGTATTCGTTAGCATTTTTTTGGGTTTTGCAGTACAACAGCAAATTCCTCCTATACAGCTAGTAAAAATGACTATTACATGCCAGGTTAATCAACAAGTGTGACCTACTGACCCAGTGATGCACACAACTATACTGCCAACACCACAGCAATGCGAGTGCACACTAGGCAAGTTGGGTTGGGTTATATTTAAAAAAAAAAAAATGCCAAAAGTCACTTCCTCAATTTGCACAAAATATCACCACTGCACAAATTATAATAAAAAGAAGTGCTAAACTCGCTTGGGTCATCCCATTGCACAAAATATTACATACTTCCCATTATAAATTTTTACACAACTTAATGGAGCCTGTAAACTAATAGTAACCCAAGAGCCTAACAGCATCAAGGCACCCTCCTTGAATTATCTTCATGGAGGGAATCAGTAAATCCATATTGGTAGATTTCCGAGTTATTGGGTTAGCCAAGAATAGCAATCCTGGATAACCCAATAAAGTCAAGCCTGTTTTATTTTAATTTGGAGTACAGTACTTTAATTCTCTGCCCAGGATGCGCCCCACCACTCGCCCAAAACCCATGTACCTACTTATTGCCAAAAGAATACGTATAGGCAGCAGGAATATGGATAAGGAAACTTGCCCATTTCCATTCATGCTTGGGATTAAAACCTCAGTGTGCGAGCTGAAGTGACTTGACTAAGCCTCCAGGGGATATTTAAACTTTCAAACGGCAAACACCATTAAGGTACATAATTAGCATTTTGAAAATATCTAATACAGACAAGGCTCTCAAACTGATTCAAGTTGGAGAAATTTAGTTTAAAAGCGGAAAAAAAAGTGAAGTATTGGTATGTCAGTAAGTTGGAGATGAATGGAACACTTTCAGGTAGTGTCACTGAAGCAAGAACTTGCCATAGCTTTTAATATAGATTGGACGGGCACACGAGTAGGCGCAAGTTAGACCTGCCTAGCCTGGGCGCATAGGAGTATCGAAGCGTTCCTTCATTCTTGTGGATAAGAGACAATCCGGCTCGATCCAACGAAGGGGAGGTGATCAATTACATGGATCAAGTCCCCCCCCCCACCTTCCTCAAGAACCTTCCCTGAGATGAATGGTTCACATGTGTCTAATTTATCAACCTTCCCTGAGGTAAGAGATAAGATAAGATTTCGTTCGGATTTTTAACCCCGGAGGGTTAGCCACCCAGGATAACCCAAGAAAATCAGTGCGTCATCGAGGACTGTAACTAATTTCCATTGGGGTCCTTAATCTTGTCCCCCAGGATGCGACCCACACCAGTCGACTAACACCCAGGTACCTATTTGCTGCTAGGTGAACAGGACAACAGGTGTAAGGAAACGTGTCGCATGTTTCCACCCGCCGGGAATCGAACCCGGGCCCTCCGTGTGTGAAGCGGGAGCTTTAGCCACCAGGCCACCAGGCCCCGAGGGACCCCCCTCCTCCTCCCCCCTCCATGAAGAGAAAGACGAGAGCTGCGCATTTGTATAATAAATCAGTCTCGTATGACCGACACCTGCTGGAAGGTCAAAAAGAATGTATAAAACAACATGTGTGCATCTTCCTGCTTAATACTACGGAGTGAACAAGAAATTAAAACCAATTATACAAACAAAAATCCATATACAGTGACAGGTGAAAACGCGTTACAATCAATGTAGGAAAAAATCCCAGTGTTATGAATAAATTCTATAACAATTACTGTAGTTAGGGGAGGGAAAAAGTGCTAAACTCGTAGGGAGGTTATGGAATGCAGATTCTATATCCACAGAAGGGAAGGCCATGCCCAATTCCTTGGATCAAGAGCCCCTTACCAACATCAAGGAACCTCCCTCGAAAGGTTCTAACAATTAGTGATAAATATTGAACAAAAACAGAAAAAACAATACCATACAAGAAACAATGCATTCCAATGTGACATGAGGTAGTACAAGCGAGGGATGCGGCATAATTATCAAGCAACTAGATATATCTCGGTAATACTTACGAGTCGCCAAGGTAATCATAGAGCTTGATGGTGCCAATGGTAGACTCAGCAGTGAAATTAGGAAATACATCACCCAGGTTCACCATTTTTGTAGATGTTGATGGAGCAAGGAGCGTAGAAACTATCGACGTGGCTGCTGCTGCAGGAATGAGCGAGACGCCTCCACCCCGGCCACCAGGAGCCTCCAGCTATCACCACCACAACCCCCCACCTCGTTCCCCACTCCAGCTATCACCACCACAACCCCTACCACCACCAGCCCCTACTTCCCCACCCTCGTCACAATCACTCCCACCTCTCCAACTACTATCCCAACCACGGAACCACCAACACCACCCACACCCCTACCCTCCAAAACCACCACTCACACCCCTACCTCCAACACCACCCTCACACCCCTACCCTCCAACACCACCACTCACACCCCCACCCTCCAACACCACCACTCACACCCCCACCCTCCAACACCACCCACACCCTCACCTCCAAAACCAACCACTCCATCACCCCTACTCTCCCAAAACCACCACTCACACCCCCACCCTCTCAACACCACCACACCCCCTACCCTCACACACCACCAACAATACACCCCCACCCTCCAACACCAACCACTCACACCCCACCTTCCAACACCACCACACCCCTACCCTCCAACACCACCCACTCACACCCACACCCCTCCAACACCACCACTCACACCCCACCCTCCAACATCACCCACTACCCTCACCCTCCAAAACCACCACTCACACCCCTACTCTCCAAAACCACCACTCACACCCCCCCACCCTCCAACACACACTCACACCCCTTACCCTCCAACACCACCCACATTACACCCCCACCCTCCAACACCACCACTCACACCCCCACCCTCCAACACCACCACTCACACCCCACCTCCAACACCACCACTCACATCCCCACCCTCCAACACCACCACTCACACCCCCACCCTCCAACCCCACCCACACCCCGTCCTCCAACACCACCACTCACACCTCTACCCTCCAACACCTCCACACACCCCACCCTCCAGCCACACCACCCACACCCCCACCTCCAACACCACCACCCACACCCCCACCCTCCAACACCACCCTACACACCCCACCCTCCAGCACCACCACTCACATCCCCACCCTCCAACACCAACCACTCACACCCCCACACCTCACAACCCCACCTCACACCCCCGATCCCCCTCAACACCACCACTCACACCCTCTCACCTCCAACACCCCCACCCTCCAACACACCACCCACACCCCCACCCTCCAACACACCACCACCCACACCCCCACCTCTCCAACACCACCACTCACACCTACCCTCCAACACCACTTACACCCCCACCCTCCAACACCACCACTCACACCCCCACCCTCCAACACAACCACTCACACCTACCCTCCAACACCACTTACACCCCCACCCTCCAACACCACCACCCACACCCCACCCTCCAACACCACCACTCACACCTACCCTCCAACACCACTTACACCCCCACCCTCCAACACCACCACTCACACCCCCACCCTCCAACACCACCACTCACACTTCCTCCCACCAACACACCACTCACACCTCTACCCTCCAACACCCCCACCCTCCAACACCACCACCCACACCCCACCCTCCAACACCACCACTCACACCTCTACCCTCCAACACCCCCACTCTCCAACACCACCACTCACACCCCCACCCTCCAACACCACCACTCACACCTCTACCCTCCAACACCCCCACCCTCCAACACCACCACTCACACCCCACCCTCCAACACCACCACTCGCACTTCCTCCCACCAACACCACCACTCTCTCTTCTTCAATGCTCTATTTCCTCCCATGCTACCCTCTGTTTCACCTTCATAACTTTATGCACTCTTTACTCAACTACAAACACACATACACCTCAAACACAACAGTATATCCTAATATAGGATAAATCTCCAATACCTTTAGTGGTATATCCCGGATTGTTCACCCAGAGGTGAAAACATATGGAAAATGAAAATATCAATAAAATTTTCTCGACAGCACTAGACAATGGTGAAACTCAACACCAGACAGCTGTGTTCTTATCTATAATGGCTTCTGAATTTTTTGCTTTATAGCTTATTCTAACAAGTGGTTAAGCTGAATGCTCGCTTTATCCACCCGTTGTTTAATAACATATAACTTCCCTGTTTTACAGCAAGCTATCCCATCTCTCTTGTCAAGATCCTCTGTATAGTGTAAGCCTCTCAAGGGAGGTTCCTTGACGCTGGTGAGGGGCTCTTGATTTAGGGAATTGGATCTGTGCTCCAGTTCCTTGAATTGAGTCTGAATGCTTCCCCTCCCTTCCCCACATGCGCTGCACAATCCTACGGGTTTAGCGCTCCTCCATGATTATAATAATAATAGTATATATAGAGTAAGTTGAGCTACGTATTTAGCTGTTTTACCTTTAAAGGTTTAAATAATAAGATATTACAAGGACCCCAGTGGAAATGTCATTTTGACTTTTTTTTTTTTGGTTATCCTAGATAATTTATAATATGTATGATAATTACACTCATGTGTGGTATAAACGTTATATATATATACACACACACTGATGTCTGGCTGAAGGAGACTCGAACCTACGAACCTTGGAACAAGGTACGCAGTGCTATACCATTCTCACCACACCAGAGATCAGTGTTTGTTTATATTTCGCCTGCTCTTGCAAATTCCTTGCATTGTTAAAATCTCTAGTAAGGTCTGATGCATGCAAGGAATGAAATGAAAAGCTGTAAGCCTTCTCCCTGAAAGCTGGCTGCCTTGGATCAAAGTCTAGCGCAAGCTGGACTCCAAGGTACTGGTCCAGTGTGGTGAGATTGGTAAGGCATTGCATACCTTGTTCCAAGGTTCGTAGGTTCGAGTCTCCTTCAGCCAGAGATCAGTGTTTGTGTATATTTCGCCTGCTCTTGCGAATTCCTTGTGTATATATATATATATATATATATTATATATATATATATATATTATATTATATATATATATATGTCGTGCCGAATAGGCAGAACTTGCGATCTTGGCTTAAATAGCAACGCTCATCTTGCCATATAAGACAAATGAAAATTTGTGTATGCAAAAATTTTAACCCCAAAAATTTAAATCTGAACCAAACAAATTAAAATATATTTCACGGGTTTTTGTTAGTCTAAATTTTTGTAAACTATTTAAAAAATTTTTATTGGGGTTTTGGGCCCTAAAAAAAAAATTTTTTTAAAGGGTTTTTATAAAAAGGGTTTAAAAAGTTTTCAAGATTTTTTTGGGTGCAAAATTTAAAAATTTTTTTCTTTTAAAAATTAATGAAAAAAAAATATTTTTTTAAAAAACGTATAAGAGAAAATTTCAAAAGGGGAAACCAAAATTTAAAAAATGGGGTTTCTTGCTAATTGCCCAAAATTTTTAAACATATTCGGCACGAAAAAAAATTTTAATATATAAATATATATATATATATATATAATATATAATAAAAAATTTATATAAAATTATTTTATATTTATATTTATATATATTTTAAAAATGTCTTTCCCCAAAAATAGACAGAACTTGCGATTTTGGGCTTAAAAAAGCAACGTGACCCTTGCCATATGGGGCAAATAAAAATTTTTTGTATGGTAATAATTTCCCCAAAAATTCATTCCGAACCTAACAAAAAAATATATTTCACTGTTTTTGTTTAAAAAAATTAAAATTTTTGTAAGCAACCCTAAAAAAAATTTAAAATTGGGGGTTGGGGGTAAAAAAATTGCATTTGGGTTAAAATTATGTGAAAACTTGTGTGGACTGCCTCCAAGGGGAGTCCCCTTTCCCCCGGGCAAACTCTTTTGAAAACCGGCTCTGGGAGGTGGGTACCCCCAGCCTCACAAGTGGCTTATAGAACGTTTTTCACAAATAAAAGGTATTGAAAGAAATTTTTCCCTGCATCCCACGTAAAAAGGAAATAACTTACTTGGTTTTGAAAGCATATATCCGTTTTTAAAACTTCCTAAGCCTAGTTTTACCCCCTTTGGACCCCCCCCTTTGGGGAACCCAAATTGTGCAACCGGGAGCAAAAAATTCCTGCAATTTTCCCAATCGTTATTATGTCCTCCCCTCCCACTCAGAAATTCCTATACCCAAAGGGGGGAAATGGGGTCCCCTAGAAAACAAAGGCGGGAAAACAGACACTAGCTTCTAACGGCTCTGAGCGCTGGTACTTCGGGGCCCTTTGCTCTCTCTCTGTGGGGGCACCCCGAGGCCCCACAGTAACCAACCCACAATCTCCTAAGTACTGGCCGGACCCTAGGGGAAAAGGTGAATATTTCGCCCTTATGGTTTTGGGCTGATGGGGGAGATCATCTAGGGTACTCAGGTCCCCTCAAACCAAATTTTCCCCCAGGTCTCAGATGTGAAGAAAACGGGGGGGGCTCCCCTGCTGTTCCGGCACGTTTTGTCCGGGGTTCGGTGTCTATCTTAAAAAGGGGACGCTATTTGTCTTTGTACCTCCCCCCGCCTTTTCAAGCTGGGGGCTGCCAGTTCCCCCCTAGCTAAACTTATCCAATGTTTGCCTACATTTTTTTGGGCCCTTTTTTCTACCTATGTTAAGGTTTAGGCCCTATTTAAACTTATCTCCCGGATGCCTTAGAAAACCTAATATTTAGTGACTACCAGAAAAACTCCCTTTACTCCTTCCCTGAAGAGTAAATCAAAAAATTTAAATAAGTTTACCAACCGCCAACCAAAAGAATGGTGTTTGGGGGGGTTTAAGGGCCGCTCGGCTCAGACGACCAGCCCCATGCTGGACTGAGCTTTTGGAATTTTTTGGACCAAAAAAAATTTCCCACACCTCCCCCCGGCGAAGGTAGGCGCTAAGTCTAGATCAAGTCTGCCCCCCCCGGGGCCCCCCCCCAGGGGGCCCCAGGATTTTCCAAAGCCCCATTCGACGGGGCGCCCGGGCCCCCGCTCGCTAAACCTCGGTTAAATTCTCATCCCCCCGGTCCCCCCGTGTGGGACCTCGAGAGGAAAAAACCCTTGTTGTTGGGGTTTTATAGTCCGACCCCGGGTCATCCCCACTTTCCCCTTTCCCTAAACCCCCCAACCTTTTGCCCGGGTGGGTTGACACTACCGGGGGCCAAA